GGTCTCCATAATATGATTTTTTCGGATAAAACGGGTTTAGTGGCGTAACCCGCACCCGCCAGCACCCAACCCGAAACTCGATTTTTCAGCCCATACCCACGGGTAACCGCGGATGCCCACGGGTACCCGATAAAAGCCCGGCCCGTGCCCGGGTATATCGGAATTTTCTTATTTTCCATGCCTCCGTATTATCATATGGGGCAGAAATTTAAAGTATTTATAATTGCGCCACACGGACAGTAAGGATATTGGACAAACTTGGCGAATAAGTATAAATACGTCTTTAAAGTTATCCGCATTAAAGAAATTCTTTGAGGGATGTTTGAGGACGGAATACTTCACCTGTTTGGGGTTTCTAATTTTCTTAAATTTGAAAAATCCAATTAACAAAATACACTTGCTATACTTAACTTTGCGATAAAGGATACATAACACAAAAACATTTTTGTTTGCCTTTCCATGCTTGTATAATAAATAGTTTATAAGAAAAACGTAATCTATTTTCAGATATTGTTTTTTTTCTGCTTATAAATGGAGAAAACCAGTTCAACAAGATGTAATAATTTTTAGAGTTCTGAATAAAAGTTGAATCAAGTGATATGGGCTATACTTATATATAAAAATTAGAATTTCAACTTATATTGAATATTTATACTCATTCATGAAAGTGAATTATTATACTCATTCGCGAAAGTGAATTTTTATACTCATTCACGGAAGTGAATTTGTATATTGCTTCTGTGCAATGTCCGTCTTGAGCTACTAGGGGCGTAGCAAATCGTATTAGTTGAAATCATATTAGTTGAAGAGGAAGAATGCTGAAATTTGGAATGTAGATCCGCGTTGAACACACAAGATCACGAGCTATGGCGGATATATCTACGCCCATTGGGGACGTGGAAAATCGGATAAAACTGTATCTCCAATCCAGCTAAAATGCTGAACTTTTGCACGTAAGCTAATGTTATTATTCTAAAAAGTCTAATTACAAAATAATATGTCTACGTCTTTTAGGGACGAAGCAAATCGGAACTGAAGATAAACTGATTTTATAAATTCTACTATAATTTGGACACTTTTGATGCTAGACCTCAAATTTCGTATATATACTTGGGCTGGCCACCCAAGCCCAAAAACCTTGGACGCCCTCAGAGGACGTGGCAAACCGCAAAATTTTATATCTCCTAAAGTATTATAGCTAGATAGTTAACTCCTCGACGCACTCATACGGACGGACGGACAGACGGACAGAGCTAGCTCAGGTCGTTGCCCTGATCAAGAATCTATATACTTTATGGGGTCTGCGATAATTCCTTCTGCCTGTTACATACTTTTCACAAAACCATTACCATAATTTCCCAATGATTTCAATGGCTTCAGGGTATAACAAGTCAGAAGGCTCCTGTCGTGACTGCTCGACTAGGAGATACCCTGAACCCTCCATGCTGATATTCAAATAATTCTGCATTTCTTTTATGCACACATACATAAACATGCATCCACACGGTCGTATAAGCACGAGCTCTGCTAAATTGCATTCAAATTTAATTATTTTATTATTAAAATTTGAGTGCAACATGTAATTTTATTGCCATTCACTTGATCCATTTCCGTTTCCCGTGCATTTTCTGGTTCAGGTTGAAGCCATAGCCTTAAAAGTCGGTCGGTCCGAACAGTCAGGCTAGAGCATGTAGATGGATATGTATTTATAACGAAATAGGCCTTTCAATTCCCTATTTACGCTGTTAATTTTCTTTTTATCTTTACAAACGGTAATTTGTGCAAACATCAAAGCAACCATGGCGAAGACCACCAAGCCAAATGAATTTTCCACTTTGATCCCGCCGTATCGAGGACCCTCTTTGTAGTTGCTAATCGCACCAGGTGACGGATGCGTCGGCTTGACACAAAATAATGCTACGGCGGCGTACCCGAAGTGACAAGAAAATAGTTTTGAGGTGTCTTGTTTCGTACGCCGAGCATTGTGAGAAAAGTAGCAGTTCCCGTCCCTCACTTACCTTTGTGATTTTTGCTACTCGTGCTCATCCTCATGCAGAGAAGCAAACGTGTTGTACTCTGTTTTCGATGGGCTGAACACAGCAGTCCCCGATTTACTTTTAAAATGCCGTCGAATTTAGTATAGGGAGGACCACCAGTAACGTTGTAGCATTATAGAGGACCCAAAAAGGTACTGATCTATTGAAGACTTCTGACATGGCGATACGCAATAATTTTTTTCTTTCAAGATAAATCGACGAATGTAAATATCAAAATTTTATAAATTAATCATATTGCATGATATTTTATTTATAAGTCGCGTTTTTGTCATAAGTATTTACTGATTAGAAAGTGTTGCGGCTTTAACACGATGAGGATGTACAGTGAGCAATAAGATTTAGGTACACAACGATTTTTCAACTCAACTATTTTTCTCAACTCCTTTCTTTTCGACATTTACACGCACACGTCCTATACATGCACACATACATAAATTCAGTTGTATGCGATTGGAAATGGTTGACTGCTTTCGAAAAGAATTTACCTTGACTGCATTTTACTCTCAAATTGATTCGTTCTACTTGGTTAATATTCAATAACGAGCTCATTTGAGCAGACAGATAAGCCAAATCTTTGTTGTTTGGTTTGTTTGATTCACCAATGTTCCAGGTGTTTTAGCAAGAAATTTTAATTTTTCTGCTTATAGTTAAGTCCTGCTATTCCTTCTTAATCAATAATGGAAATCCCTTTCGTTTATAAATGCAATTGATTGTAAGCTGATAAAAATTATAGCATCCTGCAAATATCACATGAATTTCCTAACATAAATTTGTTCTAACGATTATTAAAATCTGCAGTTTCAATGACAATCGGTTGATTATGGCTCAACATCGGTCGAATGGAAATGTATCCCGCAAGGATAGACGCTCATTTTAGAATTCGTTAGCTACCTCTAAAGCCTGGCAAAAGCTGAAGTATGTTTCATCAAGCAACGTTTGTCTTAATAACTTATGTCGAAAATCGTAATATAAGCATTAAGCAACGATAATTTTCACGATTTGATTCCATTCGTTTCATGAACACTTAACTCTTTCAGAAAAGTATATGCTGAAATACTATAGTTTTCAATTAAAATATTACAGCCCATCCCATGTTAGTCTGTTTCAAAAGCGCAATATATTATCTGCTTATTGGACTGCTTAGTCGTATAAATTTAATACGAAATGGACGGCTATTTAATATGTTTTTAGTGGAGGATCATAAATATGGCATCTAGTGCTCAAAGTAGGAAGTAGGAAAACTAAATATATGTATGAAGGACATTTAGACATTTACATTGGAATCGGATGACAAGTTTCGATTTAAACGGCAATCGAAACTTGTCATCCGATTCCAATCACAATTTTCACAGAGCGTACGCGTAGCATTCCATGTGCCATTTACTGTGGTTGGACTTTGAAAAATTTATCTTTGGTCAGCATTAGACCTAAAACTAGAAAGGTCGCGATAGTAAGTGAAACACAATATCACTGGATAGAAGCAATACATCGTCACCCAGTTGGAACAAATTGATTTTCCTTAACGGGCGACAAAGTCGATCCAGTAGAGCAGACCAGAGAAGAATAGTGTAGGATTTTGAGGAACGTGATCTTTGTACTATAATTAAGAATACGAAGGCTCAAGCGTTGCAAATTGGAAGCTGAAAGAAAACCTACCAGTTGTCACTGGTAGAGGCAGGCAGTGGTGTCTCCTTTCATACTAAATACAATGGCAACCCGAGCATAAAGGAGCTGCACACTTTGGCCGTTTGTGACTCCTGCTCGTCGACGCAGTCGCATCTAACAGAACGCGTGGGCTGGAACTTGTCAATGCTTGGTTTGCTGTCTAGACTTTTTGACTGTTTTTCTTTTTATTTCTTGGAAATAAACCTATGTTAAATCAATTGGTTCCAAATCGTTGAAATTCAATTGTTACGTTTCGTTTCAGCTGTTCGACACGATCAATTTTCCATTTTACGCTCCTATCACTAGCTCACCACACAGGCTTACATCAAATGCAGTTCGAGATGTGTAAAAGTAGTTGCAAGCTTGTTGAAATGACACCGAGAAATTGCAATTTGCACGATTATTTTAAATTAATTTTATTACTAAATTTCCCAACTTACACATAATAGAAATATGTTAATATACGCTGAATAAAAAATAAAATAGATAACACATTTTTGCTCTTTTGCTATCCTGAACGAAAGTATTGTGGGGTGACTGTCCGTCCGTCCGTCTGTTATTAAAAAATTAAGTTCCCAGCCCATGTGGTTTGTGTGCATGTGTGTATGTGTATGTGTGTGCTGTGTAAGCAGAAACTCTCGAAGACTTATTGAAATATCTGTTCTTCGAAGGGTTCAGGGGATTTCGTAGCCGAGCAGTCTCGAGCAAAGCTTTCTCAAATCAACTCAGCTCGTCGCCCTGATCAAGAATATACATACTTTGTGGGGTCTGGCACGCCTCCTTCTGCCTGTTACATAGCTCTTATATCTTCTGAAATCGACGCGTTCATACATACGGACAGACATTTCAACAAAACCATTATACACTGATTTCCCATTGAAAATGGGTAAATAAACAGCATAAATTTGGCATGCATAGAGCTATTAATAGACTCTTTGCTTTGCTAACCATTTTCGCTCATTTATGTAAAGGTACTAAGCAATGTTCGCCTTAATAATCACAACATGCTTTCGTCAAAATACTTATGCCGACTAGTGTATGTATATAAACACATAAACAGATAAGTGACAGAAACATATGTATACGCCTATGACCCGTAGTCGGGTAAATTGAACTACCTGACAGCTATTGTCTTTATTGTATTTTTGCAGTGGTTGTTTGTCGAACAGAAAAATCGTATAAAAGGCAGTCTCATCAGAAGAGGATTTCATTCTTGTTCGAGCTCTCATGTCGACCAGATCAGTTTTGATATCCAACATTAAAATGATTGCTGAAAACATGCCGCAATGCAACACCCTCGAGGACTCTGAGAAGAGATCGTTTACTGGCGCTGCCGTCAACCTGAGAAAACTATTGAAGTCAGTGAAACGTATTTTCGCAACTTCGAGGACAGCATCCCCGTCGGAGGATCACTTCTCTGAATCGACTGCGAGTAGTATTCCTACAGAGGAAGAGCTTCAGAATTGGCTGAACGAGCAAATCGAATCAAAATAGGGTCTACTTCTTTAATGGAGCTCTATCCTCGATATCCTTATATGTGATGGGACTTGTGTTCCGACAGGATTCCAATCTCGGCAAATGGCTTTAAATTCTTTCTGTGATAACTCATAATTTAGACTAAGTACTTCATCATTGTCTTCCATCACCTAAGTATCTTATGTTAATAAAAAGTAAATAAAATAAACTAAAACAAAAAGAGTTTTGTATAACTTATTGAAAATGCGGGATTACTTCCGTTAAAATTCTAAATTTCCAAATTTGGTTCTTAAATCATATATCTTATAGGGTATATTATAAGCAATACACAAGACTGTTTAAATTTCTTTAAATTAATTTTGAAAATGTAGCCAATAATCAAAAGGCTTGCAGTTTAAAGGGATATGTCACATATTTATTTATAATGGATTAAGTATATTTTCGACAAAGGCTGGCTTTAAGCTTTAAGCCGTAGATCTAATATTTTTTTTAATCCGGAAACCGACGGGGGGGGTATACCCAAAAGACGTTTTAACTTTTTTTGATTGCTCATATAAGTTTGTCTGAGGTCCAGAATTGTTTAATAACTTTTTTTGTGGACATACGATCTTCATGATTATGATTATAACATAAATATGCATGTATTTGCCACAAGTCTCTAGTATTTGAAATACGCTTTTTAAAAACATGGTGGTGAGGGGGTGGATATGGGGATGGGGGGTAAATTTTAACAAAAACCGAAATTTCATATAAGCATACATAAAACATTTGGAGACTCTAGCAATAAAGGTGTAGGAGATATATTTTATAACTGGTTTTCGATAAGGTTTATATCAATAAAAAAGATCGGAATGAGTTATCGATTTTTAATGATAGACTCGATTTAAGCTCTGACATTTTACAAAAAATTTGAAGTCTCTAGCTCTTATATCTTCTGAAATCGCGTTCATACATACGGACAGAGGGACAGACATTTCAACAAAACCATTATACCCTGATTTCCCATTGAAAATGGGTTCAGGGTATAAAAAGCCCTAACAAAGTACAGAAAATAATTACAATAGTATCACCAACCCGATGGGGGTATTTTATTTGCCAGTCCGGCCAGCTATGCCCAGGTTTCCCAGCCAAATATAGTCAGTGATACTACTGAGACTATGAAA